TCCACACACACACACACACACACACACACACACATGCATTCAGTCTGCCGCTCTCACAGATACCATTAGCACGGCTCTGGTGGAAATAGAACGATATAGAAAGAGAGAGAAGGCTAAAAAGAAAAACAAAGAGGGGAAAAGGTGGAATTAAGAACAGAAACACCAAACTATTCCTCAGACTACAGGTACGTAACTTTAAACCTCCGTCTTGATGCTCAGCGCTGCTGTAATGTGAATTCATGACTTTTGCGCTCGTTTAAAGCAAAACTCGTTTGAGCGAATGCCGTCTCTCTCTCTCTCGTTATTTCTGAAGTACGCCGGAGGATGAGAACTGCTGTTTGAGGCCTTCATGCGCTCAGCGACGGCCGACTTAGCGCTGTCAGCCTCTTGTCAGGGTTTAAAGCTCCTGAAATCTCTCCCGGTGTGGGGAATACTGAGGTCAGCAGGTGCTCGTGACCCCGGAGTCTCTGCCTGGAGGAATAGTAATGCAAGTCCAAGTGTTTCTGCGGAGAGAGGGACTAAAAGTTATAGGCTGGGTCTGAATAGACATGCAAAACTATCAAACAATATCCTTATATTGTAATTATCACGAGCACACGTTGTAATCGGCTTAACTGAATATTGTTGACACTTATTGTAACATGTATTATTGCCATATGGACATTAATTTGACACATTCATCTGATAACAGAATACTTCTTAGGATACATTTTCTGAAACAATATTTATTGTGAAAAGCGCTAAACTGGAATTGAATTGAATTGCATCTCGGGTGACATTTCGCCTTAAAACCAAAAGAAAATCATATTTCGCATTAATAATAAAAAGCCTTTTTTCATGTTTTGTAGTATTAAACTAAGCTTATTCTCGTTGGTCATTCTCATTAGATTCTTATTACTGTAATATTGCATATTTTCTATTACAGTAAAAAACTGTTGATGTTTTGTATTTTAGTTCTAATTTTAAATATTATATAGTTTATAATATGCTTTTTGCATTATAATAATAACAGATTATTTGGAAATAATAATTACAAAAAAATACTGATCCACAAAAATACTGATTTTTTTTGTCTAATTACTGTAATATTGTATTATTGTATTACAGTAAAAAACTGTATTATGTTGTATATTTTAATTTAAAATAATATTATATATTGTTTTTAATATATGTGATATACTTTTTTGCATTAGAGTAATAACATATTATTCGGAAATATGATTAATTGGCATGAAAATGGCATAATGTCATTGATGCTAAAAAAAGGCATTTTCTTTATCTTTTACTTTATTGTAATTTATAATCTATTTTCCACGACACGTTCCACGAGATTCACCTTTTTTTTTTATGTATGTCAATATTACGGAAGCGTATTGCATTCACTTGAAGAAAAAAAATCTACTCAGTTTTTCTGAATTAACGAGTTCATTATCTCAGAATTACGAGAGAATTTTTCATGGAAAAAAAGTTTTGCTCTGTTTTTCTGAATTAACGAGTTCATTATCTCAGAATTATGAGATTATTTTTCATGAAAAAAAGTTTTTGCTCAGTTTTTCTGAATTAACGAGTTCATTATCTAAAAATTACAAGATATTTTTTCACGAATAAAAAGTTTTTGCTCTGTTTTTCTGAATTAACGAGTTCATTATCTCAGAATTACGAGAGAATTTTTCATGGAAAAAAGTTTTTGCTCAGTTTTTCTGAATTAACGAGTTCATTATCTCAAAATTACAAGATATTTTTTCATGAAAAAAAGTTTTTGCTCTGTTTTTCTGAATTAACGAGTTCATTATCTAAAAATTACAAGATATTTTTTCACGAATAAAAAGTTTTTGCTCTGTTTTTCTGAATTAACGAGTTCATTATCTCAGAATTACGAGAGAATTTTTCATGAAAAAAAAGTTTTTGCTCAGTTTTTCTGAATTAACGAGTTCATTATCTCAAAATTACGAGATATTTTTTCATGAAAAAAAGTTTTTGCTCTGTTTTTCTGAATTAACGAGTTCATTATCTAAAAATTACAAGATATTTTTTCATGAAAAAAAGTTTTTGCTCTGTTTTTCTGAATTAACGAGTTAATTATCTCAAAATTACAAGATATTTTTTCATGAAAAAAAGTTTTTGCTCAGTTTTTCTGAATTAACGAGTTCATTATCTCAAAATTACGAGATATTTTTTCATGAAAAAAAGTTTTTGCTCTGTTTTTCTGAATTAACGAGTTGAGTTCATTATCTCAAAATTACAAGATATTTTTTCATGAAAAAAAAGTTTTTGCTCTGTTTTTCTGAATTAACGAGTTCATTATCTAAAAATTACAAGAAAGTTTTTAATGAAAAAAAAGTTTTTGCTCTGTTTTTCTGAATTAACGAGTTCATTATCTCAAAATTACAAGATATTTTTTCATGAAAAAAAGTTTTTGCTCAGTTTTTCTGAATTAACGAGTTCATTATCTCAAAATTACAAGATATTTTTTCATGAAAAAAAAGTTTTTGCTCTGTTTTTCTGAATTAACGAGTTCATTATCTAAAAATTACAAGATATTTTTTAATGAAAAATAGTTTTTGCTCTGTTTTTCTGAATTAACGAGTTCATTATCTAAAAATTACAAGATATTTTTTAATGAAAAAAAGTTTTTGCTCTGTTTTTCTGAATTAACGAGTTAATTATCTCAAAATTACAATAAATTTTTTAATGAAAAAAAGTTTTTGCTCTGTTTTTCTGAATTAACGAGTTCATTATCTCAGAATTATGAGATTATTTTTCATGGAAAAAAGTTTTGCTCTGTTTTTCTGAATTAACGAGTTCATTATCTAAAAATTACAAGATATTTTTTCATGAAAAAACGTTTTTGCTCAGTTTTTCTGAATTAACGAGTTCATTATCTCAAAATTACAAGATATTTTTTCATGGAAAAAAAGTTTTGCTCTGTTTTTCTGAATTAACGAGTTCATTATCTCAAAATTACAAGAAATGTTTTAATGAAAAAAAAGTTTTTGCTCTGTTTTTCTGAATTAACGAGTTAATTATCTCAAAATTACAAGATATTTTTTCATGAAAAAAAGTTTTTGCTCAGTTTTTCTGAATTAACGAGTTAATTATCTAAAAATTACAAGATATTTTTTCATGGAAAAAAGTTTTTGCTCTGTTTTTCTGAATTAACGAGTTAATTATCTCAAAATTACAAGATAATTTTTCATGGAAAAAAAGTTTTTGCTCAGTTTTTCTGAATTAACGAGTTAATTATCTCAGAATTATGAGATACATTTTTCTTGAAAAACATTTTTTCACTCTGTTTTTATGAATTAATGAGTCACTAATTAAGTCATTAATTCAGAAAAACAGAGCAAAAACTTTTTTCCATGAAAAATTATCTCGTAATTCTGAGATAATGAATTCAGAAAAACAGAGTAGATTTTTTTTCCTCAAGTGAATGCAACACGCTTCCGTACAATATAATCTATTTTCCCCCTCTTGATTTTGGTGTGAAATATGACACGTTCCACGAGATTCACCTTTCAAAGTTTTTCCGGGTTTTTTTTATTTATTTTTTATGTGTGTCTCAGATGGGATGAAGTAAATGACATTCTTATTCAGGAAAGCGTGCATTTCCTGTTTAAACTTCAAAGCGTTTCCTTGGAAAAGCATTTTAACAGGGTTTGCTGTGGTCCACCTTTTTATCTGTCCGGCCCAAATCTGTGTGTCGGTACATCCCCTCTGGGACGACAGGAGAGAGAGAGAGAGAGAGAGAGAGAGAGAGAGAGAGAGAGAGGGAGTATACAGAGCTAAACGAAGAGTGTTTTACCTTCCTTCTTATCAACACACATCTCATGCTCCTCCCTTTCCTACAGTGACAGGTGAAAACCTCTGGAAATCTCAGCGGCTTACGTGCACTGTTTTCTGTTGCCTTCTTTTGAAAGCACGTCGTGTGTGTGTGGGTGTATCGTCTACATTCAGACTCCCATGTATGCGGCATCTGTGTGTGTGTGTGTGTTTTAGAGAGGCCGTTTTTTCCCAGGGTGGTGTGTGAAGTGGGTCGTTCCTGACTGGAATGAGAATAAGCAGGGTGCCGTGTGAGCTGTGCGCATCGGGCCTCAACGCCACTGCTGTTGCCATAGTTATCGGCTAACCGATCAGAACGAGTCCTGTTCAGATGAACAGCCGCCCGTCTCTCTTTTTCAGCCCGGGTTTAATCCAAGTTGTGACTCATGCCGCTGTTCGCTCACAGAACGGGTTTTTCCATTTCACCGCTTTTTAGTTGAACTCTTTTTATTGGTGTTTTTCCAATCAGAGAGGTACTAAAAGAAAGACAATATAGTGTTTGTTTCGACATATAGACCAAGAAATACGGATGAAAATAAGCAGAGCTGTTTCTTACTCTCTGATTCAACAACAAAAAACTAATTATAAATGGTTGCTTCCAAACATACTAGTATATTACAAAGCAATACAAGTAAGAATAATATTAATGTAGTGTGCATGTACAGTGTGGTCACTGCGCTGCTTTTTCGTTGTTTTTCTATGGTAAACATGCTGGTTATGGTAGGGTGACTATATATTGATTACCAAAAACCAGGACACTCGGCCCGGGAAACTGATACTCAAATGATACTCGAAGTTTACTCAAAGATGCCTTATTAATTTCAATACATTTAAAGTTGGCTATGCCTCCTCTGTATGGATAGACAATTGTTATATTACAAGACACAAATTCAGATAGGCTTCTCAGAGGTTACTCAACATGTTTTATTATGAAAGGTTTCAAAAATAATGTCTCTTCTGTATTAGAATAATAAATAACTAAAAGAAATACCTCGAAATTGAACAAAAATAGCTCTCACAAACTTACAAAAACGAACTAACAAAATGAATAGTTTTCTTCCTCTTTATCCTGTTTTTCTTCCTCATCCTCCTTGTTTGCCCATCTATATTTTGCTGTACAGCTGATCTTTCCCAGCAGTTTTTTGAAAACCAGGACATTTTCATCACTTTATAAAAAACAGCCAGGACAGGACGTGACCCTAGGTTATGGTCCTCACCTTCCACAGATGATATATATATATAAATACATTTAGACCGCTTAACATAGTGATTGCTATCAGGATGTGAAGAGACTTTCCACCTGAATAATAAACAGCGTTTTCGTGTGTTTGTGTGAACGCTAATTATCTTTATGGTTATCGTTCTT